AATGCCCTCCTATCCCCTCCTGCTGGCCAGAGCTGTGTCTGCTATAAAAGAAGGACAAGCAGCTCCTAGAAGCCAGGAGGTCTCAGGGAAGAAGGCTGCCCTGTCCATGGGCTCCTCAGCTTGCAGAGCCCATTTCAACAGAGGATTCAATCCACACAGCACTGTGTGTGTGTTCAGGAATGAATTCTCCACAGTAACAAACCAACACCCCAATGCCAGTGATGTCACACAATAATAAACGTCACAAATTAATACCTGTCTTCCTGGTTCATAGGTGGACTTCCAAGTAGTGGCAGAGGACCCCAGGCTCCTTATAAACTGACTTCCCTCTCTTGGGCCTCTCGACCTCCAAAAGATGAACAAAAGTCACATGAAGAAAACATGACTGTTTGTTAAGTATACACATCATTTTAGCTCAAGCTCCATTCAGCAGGACTGGCCATATTGAAAGGTTGTGGCTGAATGATAACACGCCGGGATTCTTGGCCTCCGGAGGAGACGAATTCAATCTGGGGCCAGCGACGAGGCTGGATCTCTCAGAGCTTTTGTGTAATAAAGTTTTATTAAAGTATAAAGGAAATAGAGAAAGCTTCTGACATAGGCATCAGAAGGGGGCAGAAAGAGTACCCCCCTGCTAGTGTTCAGCTGGATGTTATATAAGTCACTAGCAGTCTGTTAATGAAAAGAAAGGAATGTCTTAAAATTCAGAATGGCTCTCAGCCTTAGCGCCATCTTTTGAGAAACCTCTGCGCCATGAGAGCGAAGTGGAGGAAGAAGCGAATGCACAGGCTGAAGCGCAAAAGAAGAAAGATGAGGCAGAGGTCCAAGTAAACTTGTACACCCATGGAAGCCACAGAAGCAGAAACAAGGGAAGCCAGAGGCCAGGGACGCTGGTACAAATTGTGGACTGCATGCCTACTATCTAGAACTTCTCAATGGATCTGGAACATCTATGGCCATTCTGATCGCCTTGACCACCTTTGAGAGACCTACCTTGCTCGTATCAAAGCCGTCCCTTTTGGTCCTTTGCCCTGGACCTGTGATAACTATGGACTAGTTCTCTTCTCAGTTGTGGCTGAATGTAATGTGTACAATAAATCATCTCTTTTGCTGTCTTAGCTGAAGAAAAAAAAACAAACAAACTCAGAATGGCACCAGGCCCCTCATCCATAAATTGCATTTTGTGTTAATTTTGGCAGGAGATGATTCATCCCAGGCCATAAAACGATTGACTTGAATCTTGTAGAAGGGCAGATTACCATACAAATAGTTTAATTTACATAGATTAGGGGAACAATATCTGAGTATAACATACTGGTTTGTCAAGTAGGTTCTGAGCCATTTGGCTTGAAGACAGAGTCTGGGGTAAATGCATAGCACATTAACATAGCTTAAGACAAACAGTTCGATAAGAAAAATGTATTGGTTAACTCAAGGTTTGAGAATAGTTAGCTTCAGGTGAAACCAGGTGTCATGGCAACACAGTATTTTAAGAGAAACCTCCTTTTAAATTTGTATAGAGAATGAAAAAATATTGCTAGTTTTTTTCCTCCTGCTGCTTAAGAGATAAAAATGTCTGACACTTGCAGCCTATTTCCTCCATTTGGAGACCCCTGGCCTTCCTGCCTGTTACCCTCTCAATATGACCCCATTCCTGTGCAAAAGGTGTGGGAAATGTAGTTTATACCTGGGCAGCTGCTTTGCAGTAGCTCAACACTAGGGAAGATAAAGCATGACTTTTGGGGACAGCCATCTGTCGCCATGACTCCCTGTCAGATGGGTGTGGTCCCCAGGAATCTCAGGCTGGGCCAAGCAAGTGAATTGTTCAAGGTCACACAGTTAGATCCATGATTACAAACTTGGTGTCCACTCTCCCAGCTCCTCATGCCACGCCATTGGACCAACCAGTTCTGTGCTTTGAATTTTAGGAAAAATCTTCAGCCTTGTACTTCATGTTACGAAGCAGTTTTAACTTGAGAATGTCACTTCATCCTCAAAATGTCTTGGCAAAAGAGGTGGGAAATAAGTTATCCCCACAGATCTGGAGAAGGAAATGGCAACCCACTCCAGTATTCTTGCCTGGAGAATCCCATCTACACAATGAGTTAATATGCATTCAGGCTTCCCCAATGGCTCAGTGGGTAAAGAATCCACCTGCAATGCAAGAGACACTGGAGACATGGGTTCAGTCCCTAGGTTAGGAAGATCCCTTGGAGAAGGAAATGGCAACTCGTTTCAATATTTTTGCTTCTTGAAAAATCTCATTGACAGTGGAGCCTGGCAGGCTGCAGTCCAATGGGCTGCAAAGAGCCAGACATGACTGAGCAACAAAGCACACAGCACAGAGTATGTGTGACCCCAGGAGTGCCCACCCCCAAAGCTGTGTCACACCAGCAGTGTTCACATCCAAGTCCCTGAGATTCTGAGTGTTCAAACCCTATATGAGTAACCCAGAAGTGTTGACTCCCCACTGTGTGTGACTCCACAAATGTCCATTCCCCAATATGAGTGACCCTATGAGGGTCTAAATACCCATATGTGTGACCCCAGAGCCACACACACCACAGCCTGTGACCTCAGCAGAGTCCACTCCCCAGTCTATACTGAGGAGTATCCATTAACCACTCCGTGTGACCAAAGGAGTATACACCCTCAGTCCCTAGCCCAAGGGGTACCAACTCATCACTTCTTTGACCACAAGAACATCTGTACCTTTCACTGAGACTTCACTGATGTCTATAACACAGCCTATGTGACCATAGGACTGTCCTAGCCTCAGTCACTATGACCCCAGGAGTGTCCTCGCCTCTGTGGGACACCATGGATGCTCACACTCCAGTCTGTGCAACCTGAGGAGAATTCAGTCCACAACATGTGTGATTTCAGGTGTCCACTCCCCAGTGTGTTTAACTTCCAGAGTGTCCCAAACCCTCTGTGACCCTTGGACTATTCATGCCTCTGAGCACCCTCATATCTGTCCATGCTCCAGCCTATGTGATTCCAGGAGTGTCCAAACCCCCATCATTGTGGCCCCATGTCTCTCCACACCCACTCTGTGTGACCTCACAGTTGCCTACACCTTAGGCTGTCTGATCCTAGAAGCACACATCCCAGTCTGAGTGACCCTAGAGGCTCCACACTACAATCGGTGCAAATCCAAGGGTGTCCATGCCTCAGGCTATCTGACCTCAGAGATGTCCACACCCCAGTATGTATAACCCTATGAATATCTACTAACCAGTCCAGGTGACTCAGGAGTATCCACTCCCTAGCGTGTTTGAGCTCAGCAGTGTACACATACCAATCTGTCTGACCCCAGGACCATCCACAGTCTAGTTTGTTTGCAACCATATCGACACACTAGCCAATCTGACCCCAGAAGTGTCTATACTCCACTCTGTGTGACTCCAAAAGTATGCAATGTCCAGTGTGTGGGACTTCTGGAAAGCCCAGACCTCCATCTGAGTAACTAAGCCTGTTCACAGTGTATGCTTTTTCATGTGGGCATCACGCTCCTGTCTATGTGGCCCCAGGAGTGTTCACACCCCACCCTGTGCGACTCCAGGATGATCACACCCCTGTCTCTGTGACCCCAAGGGTGTCCAGACACGGATCACCCAATGCTATGTTCTGAGACGGTACTAGATTCCTTAGCCTTGCTATTCCAGCACACCCTCTGTGGGTGTGAGCTGGGGGGGGGGTGGTCTGCTTCTCAGCTCCCTCCAACACCATAAAGGGGTCTCTTGTATCCCTATTTCCTCTCACTCTCTCTAGTAGACCATGCAGTTTCCATATCCCCCATCCCTGGCCACATGCACATGCACACACCCACACCCCCAAACAGATAGTCCCAGCCCCAGCCCCTGCAGGTCTTGTAGAGAGCAAAGGTCAAGGCAGCCTGCCTCCTGCTGCAGACCCCACCCCACAGACAGCAGTGGAATAAAGGCACCACTGATGAGAGTGAAACCTCCCAAGACCTTGTGAAACATCTAAATAAAAATTGGACACCCTCCTCCCCAGCTAGACTGTCAGGTCCATGTGGGCAGGGACATTTGTCTTATCTGTCTTATTCTCTGATGTCTCTCCAGTGCCAAGAACAGTGCTTGGTACACAGATCCCATTCATAAGGTGTCCACTGAATGAACGAACCCTTGACCCAGCAATCACACTTCTAACTCAAACGTGCACACACATGCACAGAGCTGTGTGCTCAAGACTGGCAGGAGCAAACAGCTGGGAAAACCTTGTAAATGTCCATTTCTAGCCAATGATAGTTGCAGAGTAAAACAAATGGTGGGGGTTTATACTGTATCTCAGAGCACCCACCTAACATGATACAGAATGAATGGAACTACCTGTGAGGTGGGGATGCCTTCCACGGGACATGCTGTTGACCAGGAAAAGTAGGTAGGAGATGGTTATGGTGACTCTGCATATGTGTGTGTGTGTGTGTAAGGAAACACTAGAAACTGACTTCAGTGGTCATTTTTGGAGAGTGGAGCTGGGGATCACCAGTGTAGTTCATATACTGGATGTACTCTTGGAATCTTTTATACAAACCTATGTGTGCTGTGTACTAAGTCTCTTCGGTTGTGTCCGACTCTTTGCAAATCCATGAACTATAGTCCACCAGGCTCCTCTGTCCGTGGGATTCTCCAGGCAAGAATACTAGAATGGGTTGCCATTTCCTCCTCCAGGGGATCTTCCCAACCCAAAGATCGAATCTGCATCTCTTATGTCTCCTGCATTGGCAGGTGGGATCTGTAGCACTAGTTTACCTGGGAAGCCCATACAAACCTATATTCATGTGTAATCCTTCATAAAGGAAAATCTTAAGCAAAACCAATATGCACAGCACAAAGCATTTGTGTGTCTGTCTGAGTGGGTATCTAGGGTGTACAAGATCTGAAGGTACAAGAATCTGAAACTCACATGCCCCAGGGGCTAGACAGGTCATTAACAAGAGAAAGGGCACTCAGCTCAGGGTAAGGTGAACAGCAATGGGGCTGATGAATGTTCCCTCTCAGCAGTGGAGGGTGAGGATGGGGTTGAGAAAGGGATGGGAAGGGGAGGACTTCAGAGCTCACACCCCAAAAGCATTCATAAACTCACACCCTGGGACAGAGAACATTTAATAGCTTCAAGATCTTGGCTTGGAAACAGATTCATTATAAATTAGTGTAGTTATACTCTAACTCAGACTGTTCCTAACTTCATACGCCAGATACAGACTCCCAAACAGATCAAAGATCTCACACTTGGGAGACACACTCTAAATAGATCAGAGATTTCACACCCTACAATAAAGGTCCTCCCCAAACTTCAGGATGGGTAGTTTTTCTATGTTATTACAAAGGAATCCTTAATTGTGGACTGAATGTTTGTGTCTCTCTCCCCAAATCCATGTGTTGAGGCCCCCAATGTGATATATTAGGGGCTTTAGGAAGGTAATTACGGTTAGATGAGGTCATGTTGTGTCCGACTCTTTGTGACCCCGTCGACTGTAGCCTACCAGGCTCCTCCCTCCATGGGATTCTCCAGGCAAGAATATTGGAGTGGGTTGCCATTTCCTTCTCCAGGGGATCTTCCCGACCCAGGGATCGAACCCAGGTCTCCCTCATTGCGGGCAGATGCTTTAACCTCTGAGCCACCAGGGAAGCCCCAAGATGGCATTAATACCCATATAAGAAGACACCAGAGAGACTTCTCTGGCAGTCCAGCAGTTAAGATTCTGCACTTCCATTGCAGGGGCTACGGGTTCTGTACCTGGTCAGGGAACTTTAAAAAAAGAAGAAGATACCAGAAAGTTTGTTCTTTCTATCTGCCATGTGAGGACCTGGCAAGAAGGTGGCCATCTACAAACCAGGAAGACAGATATTATCAGAACCCAACCATATTGGCATTCTGATCTTGGACTTCCGTCTTCCAGAAAGGTAAGAATATAAATTAGTCTTTCAGCTACCCTGTCTATAGTACTATATTATGGTGGTCTGAGCTGGCTAAGACACCTTAGGCTTTCACTTTCCAGGCCCTGTGTTTTAGGTCGGAGTCCTTGTACTTGCACCGTCTACCTCTGTTAACACCAGCAGTCCCTAGTCAGTGGCCCTTCCATTCCTGCCCTTTGATCTGCAGGTACTGAACCAGAGGGCTATCTGGAGGCTGAGGGCAAAGACACTTAGCCTACCACACTGCGCCATCTGCACTCCAGGCTGCCAGCCAGGATGTGGAGTTGGACTTTGGAGAAGCAAGGTGAATGGGGTGGCCCCTGGGGGTCTTGCGGCATGGGTTCCGGCAAGCAAGGCTGAGAGTTCCCAGCTGGGCCTGGCAACCCGCTTCCCTTCTATGTGGCTATCCCGGTGTGCTTTCATTCATTTTCCCACCCTCTTCCTTCTTCTTTCCTCTTTCAAAGACAAGCAGGGGGCAGCAGAGCGGCATAGAAAGCCCCTGCTCTAACACACAGCAGACTGTCAGCAGGTCTGCAGGAGTGGGCAGCCACTCAGCTCAGCTCTCCCTAGGGGCGGCTTCAGGAGCTGGTCCAGCTAGGGCCATTGGGGTGGGGCGGGATAGGGAGCGGCCAGGAAAGAGCGCTGCTCTTGAGGTTTGCTAAAAGAATTCCAAGGGCCACTGGCACCCTGAAGGAGACCTTGAAGAGGACTTTGCAGGAAGAGAGAAGCCGTCCCTGTGGAGGAGGCTGGAGGGAGGCTATAGTATTTTGGACATTCTAGTTTATATATATTTACATATGTAATACACATATAGACATATATTTGGTTGTGAGAAATAAAGTGGATTATGCTTTATGCAGTGCTTCGAACAGAGCTTGACACACAGTAAGCTTAAGTGTCTTGCTTGTAGAAAGGGAATGGTGAGCCATATACACCATGGAATATTACTCAGCCATTAAAAAGAATTCATTTGAATCAGTTCTAATGAGATGGATGAAACTGGAGCCCATTATACAGAGCGAAGTAAGCCAGAAAGATAAAGACCATTACAGTATACTAACACATATATATGGA